GCAGGGTTCTGGTGGCCGGCCTTCCTCCTAGCCACTGGGGAGGTAGCAGTCAGGCTCCAAGCTCATAGAAATCCTCTTAAAAGAACTTATCCCAAGCTTCTCCACACTAACTAAACTCTTTTATAGGTAACTCAAAACAAAGCAAAACTCAAAGAAACCCCTAATGGGCTGACTGTTTCCCTACCAACAGCAAAAAAGCTCATAATTTCTACTTATCAATAAAGCAACTCCAGCAAGAAACTTATAATTACAGACAACCAGACTCAAAACCAGTTATTCATGCTCCCTTTTTATTCTCGTGAATCTGTCACTTTATCTACCCCTGTTAGTAACACTGCATCTGTGCAGATGTTTTTGTCGGCCTAAGCAAGGCCAAATTTTTTCTTGCTATGTGCTGTCCTCACTTCCAGCTTATGGTGGCCAAGTGCAGAAGATGGCTGCTTCTCTTCTCTGGCAGTGACATTGCACTGCGAGCTTTCATTTGGTTTGGTCTCTACTGTCACTTCTAGGACTTTTTCAGACTTCAGCAAAATCACCATTTTTTGAAATAGCCACTTTTCAAAGTTCAGTATCTTAAACCGTATTAAGGGCCAGAATGTGCCTGGTCCCTATGCATGTTCACAACCAACAAAGAAGGTGTAAGAGATGGGGCCATGAATCAGCTTCCCTAACCCTGTACCAGCCAATAGAGCACACCTGACTGGACTCAGAGAGCAGCATCTAATACCCCCTACCCCTTGGAGAACCTTATGGTGCACTCCACCTTCACACCACTCTCAGCACAATGCTGGGCTTTCAAACATGACTAAGCCCTTAATATTTAGTTTTCAAAATAGTAGAAGCAGTTAGCCCCTGTTAGAGACCATCACCTTGCAAAATGTGTTTTTATTATTGTAATTGTTGTTATTCTGAACATTAAGAAAAAGCTTTCCAAAAGCTGAAAATGGGAAGAGTTTTTTCCTTTACTTTTATCAAACTTTAGAACCATCAAAGTGATTTCCTGAGAATTTGTTGGAAGTAACTATGTTGCTGTTGGGCTTGGACCTAATTTGTCAAGTCTCAACCAGGAGCAAAGGTTCTGGTTGGAGTTGTTAAAATTTGGGTTCTTTTCCGTCTGGGATTTTGATGAACCCTTAGGTACCATATAGAAGAGATGTCTGGGTGTTTGGATAAGTGAGAAGCTCTGACAACTGCTGCTCCCAAGGGACTCACCACTCTTAGATTTTGGATGTTGCAGTTCACAGAGTTGGGAGGAGAGCAGAGAGATAAGCCAACATACAATAGCACAATAATGTTACATTTCTATAGTGCCTTTCATCCCAAAAGACATTAATTGCAAGAAGATATACAAGCAGAAGTCACTTAACTACCGCTGAAATGCAGGCATCTGTAGCATGGTTCAGAAAAGCTATTTAACAGCCCACATTAACACAACACATCAACTTAGGTCAGGAAGTGAGGAATAACTGAAATTTCAGGAGGAATTTTAGGGAGTCACAATACAGTTCCCCATACTGCAATTTGGCTGTGATACCAGGATTAACACTTGCTAAAAATGTGGAAATTTTTTATGACTGAAATGGTCAGGATCTTCCGTCAGCATAGCTGTCTCTAGCACCAGGCTGGGGCACTGGTTACTGATTTGGAGAGAATAGTGATTTTTACTGAATCACTAGCATTACTTTGTGTAATATCTGGGTTTTCCTCGGAAGTTTCCCCCTTCCAAGTACTGAGCTGGCCCCACCCTTCTTAGTATGTGATACCTGATGAGATGACAGTCTGAGGTAGCATGTCTGCAGGCAGTGAATAGCAGGAGTTGACCAAACCGACAGTGCCAATAAAATGGCACAGGCAGAGGATGAGAATTCCACAACATAATTTCATAATTTGTGCTGACACAAAAAAAGCTACTGGCTGAAGTCTTGCAAGCCTGTCCCCTTTAGGAATAACAAATAGAATCAGTGATGAGAAGAGGAAGTTGGATAGCTAGACTGTGGAATAAGAATAATGCTGGGAATACTTCTAAGGTCAGGCATACAGTGCAAAGTGCTTCCTCACAATCCAATACAAGGGGACTGTTAGAAACAATTAATTCATTTCCTAGTTGAGATAGTGTCAAGGTGAACTTTTCTGTTGTATGGGTACTAGTAGGTAGTAATTCACTCAGACAAGCTATCTGTGGATAATAATAATAGTAACACTTCTCTAGAACATTTCATCTGAGGACCTCCTAACACTTTACAAACACAAATTAAACCTCACAACCCTCCTATGTTATTAGATCCATTTTCAGATGGGGTGACTAAAGTAGAGAGATGAAGTGGCTTGCCCAAGGTCACACAGTGAATTAGTGGCAGAGCCAGGAAAAGAACCCAGGAGACCTGACTCCTAATTTCTTCCTACTGTACATATAAGGTGGCTAAATATACTGTTATACGCATACATGTCCACACACACAAATAGAACAAAAGAGCAGTTAAAGAGCACAACATCCAGAAGATAACTTAAAAAATCAAAACACTTTATTGTTGTCTGTTAGTGAAAATACAGCATACTATACATGTAAATACTGGTGTGTTCATGCGAACACACATTTGATGTGGAAAGAATATTGTTTATGTGTGTTCTACCTACACAACTAGTTATTTCTGCAGTATATTCTCAAGGTCACGCAGCTCATCACAATGTACTGTGTCTGTTATTTCTGTACACTCTGGGATCATGATAGAGCTGTCTGTCTGTAGGAATGACTGCTGTGCACTGCTATGGGAGAAACACAACTTTGATAGCAGGTATTATGCTCCTCCCCCAGGATAGATTAAGAGTGGTGTTCAAGGAAGAAATACAGCTTTCACTGCTTAACAGCGGTCCTTCCAGTCTATTAAGAGAAGTAGTAGATTCCCATCCAGGCCACTGGCTAATGCAAAGATGACCATAACAGAGGCTTCTTCTCATTATAATAAGCCCCTGGGAATAAAGCACTGTGATAATTTTTGAAATGTGGTAGTGTCTTTTTTTAAGGCACCTATCAGCATGGTGTCTCAGCACTGATATGATGGGGTTTGCTGCAGCAGGACATACTGGGCTGATTAATCCCAATAGTAACTCCGTTAACTTCTTTGTTGGAGATACACCATGATGAATGTACCCCACTATACCTGGGCTAGAGGAAATGTCCTAAAGCATTCGTTCTCAAACTTGATCGCACCCCTCTTCTTTGTGTCTGTTGTAATTTACTTGACCTCCCCTCCACCAGCACCTGGCCAGCAGCTGCCGCTCTTTGACTTTCCAGCTCTGAAGGCAGAGTGGAGAGTGGCAGCTGCTGGCCAGGCAGCCAGCTCTGAAGACAGCACTGCTGCCAGCAGTAGCGCAGAAGTAAGGATGGCATGATATGGTATGGCCAGGGCTGACGAGAGGGGAGGGGAAGCCGGTACAAATTAACGGGGCCTGGCAGTCCGGAAGGGGGCCTGGGGGCCCAGCTTCCCCAGCTTCCCCCCCGCTCATCGGCCCTGTTTAGCCGGTCTGCCCTTGCTGGGGGGCCCGAAAAAAAATTGTCACCGGGGCCCGAACCTGCTCTTGGCGGCCCTGGGTATGGCCACCACTCTCCGGCCACCCAGCTCTGAATATGCACAGTAATTTTTTCCCTAAAGCTTCTCATGCCCCCCCAGAACACATTCCACGTCCCCCCAGTTTGAGAACCTCTGAAGAGCCTATGGTAAAGGTATGGCAGGAATGTTTGAGGTAATAATTTTGTTAATTTTTAATACTACTACAAAATGATAGCAAAGTGTCACGGTCTTTGGAGAACCCCACTGTCTTCCAGTGAGGTCTGAACTCTGAACACCACTCAACATGGACGAACCATCTTTGACTGTGTGCTACATCAGGATGTACATTTAAATGCTGCCACTTACACTCTCCTGCCAGCCCAGTCTGTGTGCATGCACTTTCTGTCACTCACTCACGCAAGTCACCCCCAGCCTACCTCTGTCACACAATCACTCACACACAGCCCAACTCTCAAATGCATCTTTTCCATTCATGCTCACAGTTTTCTTTCCTTGTATCTCTGCCTTATTTGATCCAAGGTCCATTATTAGATCCGCTTGCTGGTCCTTGGAGCGGGATAGACAATTGTGCCATGGACTGTGTCATAAGGCAAGGGTTGGGGGTGGGGAGTTGAAGAAGAAATACTCTGAGAAGCAGCCAATAGAGCTGCAATCCTGATAGGCCTCATGGTCAGTCTATTAGCTGCTAGCCCTTCATACACCTACGAAGGGAAGAGATCAAGAATAATTGGAGATCAAGAGACCTAATAAGTCCTTTCCATCCTAATTTCTAGTCTATAGAGACTAGACTCTCTCTGCCTTCCTAGCAGCCTCTTCCTAGAGGGTTTGGCTGCACTAAAGTTTTATTGTTAAATGCTTCTTTCTGTCTCAGGTCACTTTATGCTTCATAAAGCTCCAACTTGGAAACCCCCCACAGGAACATATACTTTGCTTACAATCTAGTCATGATAGCATGGGCTATCAGCTAAATGGAGAAGGATCCTGCTGCCAGTTGTGGGAGAAGGCATAGGTTAGATAAGAGAGAGAGAGCAAGAGAGAGGGGGGAGATAAAAGAGTGAGAAAGGAGCCTAAAGGAGGATTTGAATATTATTTTTCTAATAGTACAGAGCCTGTTGCCATGTACACAGGTGCAGTGATGTGTCTACAAAGCGGCAGTATCTCTTCATCTACATGGTTTGTGATCTCCTTATTAATATTTATTATTTGTATTAACATAGCGGCTAGGAGCCCTAGTCATGGATGTGGACCCCATTGTGCTAGGCACTGTACAAGAACAGAACAGAAAGACAATCCCTTATTTCTGTTCAGTTTGCTAGCCAATCCCTTCCCCACAGAGTCTGCAGTACTGAGAGATGGAATATCCCAACTTTGCCGTCTTGCAGCAGAGTATGAGAAAGTAGTGGTATATCTGTGTGTGTGTGTTGTGGAGAATTACTTGTCTTTATGCCTGTGATAGTCACTTCCCACATTTAGTATAGGAATGAGAAGTCCTATTAGCCACCTCTTCCCAAAGACATCCTGCAGGTTCTTCCTCCAGGGCCGGGCTCTTACCACCATCCCCTTCCGCACCTGGTAGCGAGTTTGCCCTCGTAAGATCAACAGTATCTGGTGGGAACAGAAGCCAGCACAGGCAAGTCCAATTCCAAGCCAGAGGTACAGCATGAGAATGACAAACATTTCAGAGCTAAGGAGAGCTCCTGCAGTTCCAGAGCCGGGAGAGGGGGAAGAGAAAAAAGAAACAGCATTTTATACACACCCCACATATTAGTATGTTAGCCCTCCAGAAATATTCAACCTGAAGAGTCCTGGAAACTGAATTATATTCTATAACAATTATACAACTGGAGAGCTAGAAGGAAAAAGAGAATTAATCATTCTAATTATTCTAATTGAAGTATTTCATTCATGATAATCAATGCAACTAACACTGTTGGGGAAAATATTAAAATGGTAGAGGTTAGAGTAGACTAGTGTTTATACTGTTAATATGTAGGATCAGGGCTTAAAGGAATTTTTGTGAAAATTCCACAAAATATAAAATGTATTTTAATCATTGTTAGTAACATTTTCAAAAGTGCCTAAATGACATAGGGCTTGTCTACACGGGATGTTTTTGCACAGCAAAGCAGGGTCTGAATCTACAATGCACTAGCTTGCAGCACAGTAGCATCTCTTGTGTACATGGCTACAGCACGCTAAAAGACTTATGGAAACATTGAATCTGACAGGTACTTCTAATCATTGTTTTGAAAAAGTTATATATAATTTTATACACATATAAGTACTAAAAAATATGGGCAGATCCTCAGCTGGTGCAAATTGGCCTAATTCCATTGAAGTCAATGGAGCTGTGAAAATTTACAGCAGCTATAATTCTGGCCCTATATATCTCTCTATATATAGTATGATATCAGTATATAGGCCAATTTGCACCCGGTCAGGATCTGCCAATATTTTTAGTACTTATATAACTATGAAATGTATCATAACTAATTCCTTACAGGTCTTTTAAAAGAACTTCTCTAATGTTACCTTTCCCGCCTGAAGAGAAGAATGTAGGAATGGTGCAGGGGGGACAACTCAAGTTACTCTAATCCAAGCCTCTCTCAGCAGAAGTCACCAAAGGGAACCATGCAGGAGTGCTGACTAGTCTTATAGCCAGTCCTGCCTCACCCTCTCTCACCAGGAGTCACCAGAACAGGGCTGGGTGGCTAGCTGTAAGTAGCTCATGGCTCCTCCAGTTATTGGAATTGTGTTATACAGGAGTTCAGAGTAGATGACCTAATAGTCCCTTCTGGCCTTAAAATCTATGAATTCCAGCTTCTCCATCTTGAAATGCTGTAATTAATAGTCTAGCTGTTGGCTGCCACAAAATTACACTTTGACTTCACTTCAAGTTTTGGACTTGGCTAGGAGAGAACATTCACACGATTTTTTTCAAACAGATTACAGCATCTGGCTTTTCAGTCCTGAACACTTGAACCATTAAACATTGCTTTTTAAATTCAATATCAGCATTCTTTTATTGTCAGATCCCAGTAGACATCATGCACAACATGGCAAGGGGAGAACAGATCCCCTTAAGGAGGTGAAGAATCCTCATACTAATTTGGTTGGTGAGGGTAACTTGAAATATTGAATAGGAAGGTCAGATACAAGCATGGGCTTCTCAGCATTTATTGGAAGCACAAGAGTGATAGAGATTGGTTCATTTTTCCTGATAATGCTCTGTTGGGAGCTGGGGACTTTGCAACAAGCCTGCAAGATTTATTTGAGGCCATGATGCAGAAAGTCACCATGTTGTGAGAACAGGAATCCTTTGTCTCTTTTTGCAAGTATAAAGCTTCCCTGAGCCATACTTAATGGACATAAGGTTTGTTCATCTTATTCTTAGGTTATCCAAATAAACAGTAGTCTATAGTTTTGTCAGTAAATCCAATCTGACAGACATTTACAAAAATACCCCTCATTTGCCCGTCATTACCAGAGACCATTTTAAACCCAAATTTACTTCTGTTCCTTGTGAACCTGATGTGATCTCACTCTTATTGCTGCACATTATTTATGCCAGAAATGCTGAATCATGATGCTGAATTTATAGATACTGGGACAAATTCTGATATCCATGCTGGCTCCTTTGTGCCTCCTGAACACAGATTCTGGCCACAACTAGCCAGCTGAGAATTAATCCAGCTGGCATAAAACTAACAGATCCATCTCCTATTCCAGTGGTCACCTGCTGCCAGCATAGAGAGCATGTCAGAGGAGGAAAAGGATGTGTTGGAGTGTGGTGGAGTTCTGCTCTGCTGCACTGATCCTCAGTTAATACATGGTCCCTTAGGGTCCATACACTAGTGGCATAAATTAGTGAAGCCCAGGGTTTTGCTCTAACATATGCCAGGGTTGATGCAGATCAGCCCACAGAATCAAAGAGTCATAACCAGCACCCTGGTAGACTCCTCACCTCTTCCCCCCACTCCATTTTGCTGTGTCAAGCATAGCTTAGAAGAGGAGAGCATCAAGTCTGGCGTTATTCATTCTGAAGAAGTTTATCCAATGTTATTTAAAATGTGGTTCTACTTGGAAAAGTGACTCCATCAAAATCTCATGGCAGGGTTCCATGTCTATTGTCTTTCAGTGACTACCATGCCAAAATTGGATACTTTTCTAAGTAAATTTCTGCTTGTTTGTTTTTAAATGCCAGCCTTCTCAGTCTGGAATCTGAAAATCAAGCTGGGTTCCTTCTGGCTCATGTATCATTAGCAAAATTCTGTAATCAAAACATAGTAACAGTCCTGTTGATTCATGACCCCAGAATACAATCCTGATCCTCTCTCTGAGCTGAGTGGCTCTGCAGGGGTCAGAGCAGAAGTCCTGTTTTAGTCAGTAAAGTGAGGAGATCTGATTCTGATACACAAAGGCTGCAGGTCTGATGGTTAAAAGAATGACATTTTTACTTAGTCACTTTCAGAGTACCACTAGTCTCTAAGCTTTCTGTGTAGCAACTTTTCAAATGCCCTTCATTCTAGGGTTTTGTCTCAAATTTAGACTTGGTGCATTTGGAGGGGCTCAGGGGCATGGTGAGATGAGGCGGGACAGAACTAGAGGTGCTGAGGCAGATTTGTGGGAGAAGGATCAGGAAAAGAAGTTAGAGGAGTAGAGGGAGAATTGATGAGGAGCAGGAAAAGATGCGGATGGGGAAAGGGCACCTTGAAAGGCATAAAAAGGCAGGGTCAGCAGCAAGAGATTATTCCTCTGAATACATTTGCTTTTGGCGTGGGGCGCTTTCAGAGATCAATGGTGGCTCTCAAACTGTGGTCTGCAAAGAACTATCTGGAGATCTGTGGAGAGCTGGTTGGTCACATCATACTAATTCTCTTCTTTGTTTCCACCTGCTAGATAGCATTAAAAGAAGCTAACATAATTTCCTAACACTGATTTTCCATGCGAGCAGCTGCTGTACTTGCCACAGGGAGGGGATGTGGGGCGAGGTGTGTTTATTGGGAGGGGAAAGGAAGTGGGTCTGGGCTTGTGTCTAATGAGAGGGGTGACTGGGCTGGGTGATGTCTAATGGGAAAGGAGGTGGGGCTGGGTGTGTGTTTTATGATGGGGAGATGGGGCAGGGTGATGGCGAATTGATGGGGAGATGGGGCTGGATGGTGGCGAATGGGAAAGGCGGTGGGGCTGGGTGTGTGTCTAATGGGAGTGGAGGAGTGACCAGGTGATGGCAAATGGAAGGGGAAGTGTCCCCCACTCAATCTCTATTAGGATATGGTTCCCCCCTCTGAAGAACTTGAGAACCAGCCCCAGCCACCCACGGAAGCACCCCTCTGCTTTAGGATAATGAGTGAAATTCTTTCTCCTGCTGCCTAGTTGCACTGGACTCTCTCTGTGCCCACCAGCCCTGCTCACTGACGCTCTGTCTTAGGCGCTGGGTTTGGGTTTTTTTAGAACCTAATAAATTATGAAGAGGGCTGTGTCTGGAACCTGGCTGGGGTCCAGCCAGCCTCGATTTCAATAGGGCCTTTGATCACGGTGCTAAAGTCCTGCAGGAAATGTACACCAAGCCTCAATGAAGAGATCCGTGAGCACAGGAACCCCTCCCTTCCCTTTCCCCGCCCTCCGCCCCTCACAAAGTTGCCTGGAAAAGAGCAGGACCCAAGTGACGCATTGGGGCAAAGGGAGACCATGTTCTTTCTCTGGGAGAGAGGCCGCTTACCTGAGAAGAACTGGCTGATGGAGTGAGGCAGGAGGGTGAGGAAGGCCAGTGGGTTTGCAAAGGACATAGAGAGCACTGCAGAAATGTAAGCCACCCCTGCCACCAGGGAGTCGAGACAAGCCAAGGAGGTGTAGAGGCAGAACATGACGAAGTTCCGCATGTTCCTGCTCCCGATGCAGTTCCCTGTGAAGAAACAGTGGTGGTCATGCCTTTGGGTGACTCTGGCACACAGTCTACAGAAGTGGGTGCTGGGCAAGGCTGAGCAAGGGGACCTGCTTCCGTCCGGCCGGTCCGCCACCACTTCGGCTCCTCCGCCCGAGTTCAGGCACTTGCCAAGGTCCTCAGGGGAGTTCTGTATCACAAGGATGTAGTTCCCCAGGGCATTAGCTGAGAGGAAGAGGAAGAGGGCCCCATGCAGCAGAGCAGGAGAGAAAAGTGGGGTGGTGGAAGGGTCTTTGAACATGCTGGGGATGAAGAGAAAGAGCTGGAGGACGAAGGTCACTAAGGAGATGCACAGGAAGTAGGCTGGAGCAACAACATTGAGCACCCTGAGAACTAGCATTGTGGATTACATTCCTGCAGGGAGAGCAAGAAGAGAACAAACATCACCGCCTCGGACGGATACTTGATGCGTCCATTTCCTTCCAGGTTCCCCATCCCCCCGGCTCCCCTGTTTGCTCCTGGCAATGCCCTCTCTGCTGCGCTCCCCCACCCCGCCCTCCCGTCTGCCACACTCACTGCAATGAAACCCCCACCAGTTCAGTGGCGTGTGACAGAGACAAGCTCCTTGGGGAACGATCGCTCCTCACTTCCGAGCTGTTACTGTCACAGCCCCCGTGCCTGGCTTCAGGGAGCTTGCAGGCGGCATTGCCACTGAGATTCCAGAGGCTGCGGTGTCTGGAGCCTCTGTCTGCCGGCTGCATCAGCACCAAGCTCGCTCCGCGGCTCCCCTTTTCTCTACTACAGGAGTTCCTGTTACAGGCAGGGTCAATTTCTGTGTTGCATGTCCGAAGGAAGGTGGGGGAAGAAGGGAAGAGAGAAAGGGTGGTTGCTCTACTCCCCTGCAACACGGATCAAATCCCAAACTCTAATTTATCCGTTGAAGCCACAGATCTGCAGATTACCTCAATGACTGTTGTCCCTACATGCGCAAAATCAGGAAATGCACAAAACAACTGCTAAGTGCTGCCCCAGCTGCAACCTTCGGCGTTGTGCGAGGAACTCTGTAACAGCAACAGAGCGCTGTGCGTGTGTGTCTGGCTGTCGTTATTGTATAGTCAATGCACATGATTACACCAACAAGCAAACAAAATCCCCTAAAAACCAAAGGTACCAAACAGCAGCCATCTCGGCAGGTCCATGTCAGCTCCCCCAACGCAGCGATGACTACGTTTAGCTCTTCCTTTTTCCATCCGTGCCAGACACATTTAAAATGTACAAGGGTACAAGGACCTAGGACAAATAAATGAAGCAGGGAGCCGCCTGTTCCAGCGGTGCCTGCTTTTTACACTCCCCGGCTGGACCTTATCCACCATTGTAAGGAAACTTCAGCCTGGAACTTAAATCGGAAGCACATTTGTCCCTTAAACTTTAACGATTTAGTAGCCACTGGGAACTTTCTTTGGTGCCAACACTGGCAGCCCCATCCTGGTTCTGGCGGGACCGCTGGGCAGTCTCCAGATCAGCTCACCCCCCTCTCCGAGCTCGTCTGGCTTGCTGGCTGGCTGGCACACGGAATAACCTTGAAATCCCCTTGCCTGCTGGTTTTTAGGAGTGCATAGTTGTTGCTCTTGTTACCTGGCTGCCCGGAGCTGCTGTGGCCGGCGTCCAAGGGAGCTGGGAAGAAGCTGGTGTCCCTTCGAGGCCAGCCGCTGGCTTAGCAGCAGCCGCGATGTGAAGGAGCAGAGGCTCGGGGAGCTTTTCCCTTAGCAGCCCTCTCCCAACAGCCGCAGGCGGCTCAATGGGGCGCTGTCCCTTCAGCACCCCCAGCAGGAACCGCCCTGTGCTGAATAGGCAGGAGCCTCGGGAGAAATAGGGAGCTGTCCCTTCAGTGCCTCCGGCAGGAGCCCTCCTGGGAGCAGTGGCACTGGAGGCAGCTGTCCCTGCAGCACCAGCCAGAGTATTGTGTGCCGCCGGGCCCCGGCACCTGGGATCCCTCCCACCCTACCAGCACCCCGTACGTAGTGGGAAGGTGTCCCTGTGCGCCCTGGAGCCTGGGCTCTCTGAAAGCCCATCAGTTCCACCAGTTGTAGCACCGTGGAGCTGCTGGCAGTGGGGCAGGAGACGGGAAGGAAGAGGAATCTGAGCTCACTTACCCAGAGCCCAGAGCAGGTCCTGCCCGCTGCAGCCCGGCCGGCTGGAAACTGCTGCTCCAGCAGGTGCCTCAGAAGGGGGGGGGGGATGGAAACGTCTCGCCTGCTGCCGACTAGCCACTCCTTGGAAGAGCAGCAGCCCCGAGGAACAGTTTTGTGAAGGCTGGAAAGTTTGGGAGGGGTTCTCTCTCTCTCTCTCTCTCTCTTGGCTGGCAGCCTCCGGACCTCTGGCACCCTAGTCAACTAGTGAGCATTGAAGGGAGGGGGGTAAAGTGCACTGTGCTGTATGCTAAACGGGTCCCAGAGAACCTGTGCACAGAGCTTTAATTACTCCACGTCCATAAGTGCTGAGTAACTAGCACACTCTCCCCCCCCCACACACACACACACAATACACATGCACGCTCTCTCTCTCCAAAATACGTGCACACACACACACACACAAACACCCACACACAAGACATTGACAAACGCTCACAGGTTGTCAAATAAATGTCTGCCTTTTGAAAGGGGCACAAGGAGGCTCCCTGACTTAGTGCTTTGAACCTCTGGAGACCAAGATTCAAATTCTGAACTGGTCACAGGAGAAAGAAAATACAGGTTGGTGGCTGCAAACTGGTCCTAGGATTGATCCCTTTCATAAGAACCATCCTGTGATTCAGACTCATTAGCAGGCTCTGCTTTTGCCAGGGAGGCCCATCACTCACATCTAAGTGGAGTGCATGGCAGGGCAGGACTAGGGTGTACTCCTGTGTCTCAGCTTCTAAGGAGATACACATTGTGAGACAAAGAACTCCCCCCCCCCCCACACACACACTGTGGGGGTTAGTGACAGATTTTTTTATTTAATGCTTTTTTGTTTTGTTGCATAAATAATGTTTTTTTCTCAGCTCACTTTCATGATTCAACATATCAGAGAAAAAACCATTTAGGATAACAAAAGCCAGAGGAAGCCAGGCCTGTGCACAATGGAGCTGAAATGAGACATGACTGAGATGCACTTCAGCAGAAATGTGGGGAAAACTGGGCAGCATTCACCCAGCCTTCACTCCCATCCTAATGATCTCCCTGTCATGATCCCAAATAAACAAAATCTTTTAATATTTCCTTGGCTTATTGATTTTAAACTAGAGTGAGCCTTAAAAGAAGGAATATACCGGCCTACCTTCTACTGTTAAACAATCAGTGTTTTCTTCTTATTTTAACAGCTTACATCAAAATAACAGAAAAAATACATTGAAACCTTTTCATGTAATGGAGGATCATTGACTGAAGGGACTGAATAACATGAAAGACATTAATTCTTCCTATACTGGTAGCACCACAAGCTACAGTTTATTAATGAAATGTATAAGAGAAAGTGAGCAGCTTTTCCCACTGGAGTGGTACAGTGGCTAAGTTATGCCTGCTGCTTTCATTAACATGCTCTTCCAGACTTTGATGCTCACAATTTTGTGACTAGCAAAATACTGACTTCATATTTAAAATATGGTATAAATTGTTTTTCTCTGTTCACATTATTGTGTTTGTGCAGTGGGAGATTGGGGAGGAGGGGTCAGGATTAATTCTCGTATAATTCCATTGACTTCAGTGGAGTTGTATCAGGGAGGAATTTGAGTCTGTGTTTGTGTGTGTGAGAGACAGAGATTTGAGAAAAGCTAGACAAATTAGCTTGTCCACTCACTGAAATAACAAGAGCAACGGTTAATTTGTGGATCTGTATTAAAACAAATGACATCAATATTTACTTCAGGAATTAGTATTATTCTCTCCCTTCCCCCGCCCCCAATGTCATACTGGTGAAAGAAGCTAGACTGATTGACAGAGAAATGTAAGTCTCCCATTTTCTCTTTTAGAGAGGCAGTGTGGGCTAGTGTACAGGAGACATGGGTTCTTTTCACAGCTCTGCTGCTGGCTTGCTGGATGCCTTTAGATAAATCACTTGACCACTCCATGCCTCAGTTTCCACATCTGTAAAAACAGGGATAATAACATTTACCTCCTTCATAAAGGCTTTGTGATCTCTGTATGAAAAGCACTATATAAAAGGGCTAGGTATTATTATTACCCATTGCACTGGTACTTCTTGGAGAATGGCACTGTGAACTTCTCCCACACACCACTCCAGAGCCAGCCCCCAGTGTCTCACCCCGACTTGGAGGGAGTTTGATCTCCATGGTCCACTGACCCTTTAAACTCTCTCCTGAGACAGGATCAATTAGTGCCAAGTGCGAAGGTGATTTCTCTGATGTGGACAGTTGTCTACTAGGAAGTAGACTGGGAATTCCACACAATCTATCAAACAGCCATCATTTGATTGCATCTTTTGGTCACCACTAACCTGGGCTACACTTGACCATAGTAGATGAAAGTCTCTATAGCAGGGGTGGGCAAATTATAGCCCAGGGGTCGCATCCGGCCCTTCAGACATTTTAATCCGGCCCTTGAGCTTCTGCCGGGGAGCAGGGTCAGGGGCTTGCCCACTCTGCGCATGCTGTAGCTCTGCGCGGCTCCCGGAAGCAGTGGCATGTCCCCCATCCACTCCTATGCATGGGGCAGCCAGGGGGCTCCGCATGCTGCCCCCACCCCAAGAGCCACCCCCACAGCTCCCATTGGCCGGGAATCGCGGCTAATGGGAGCTGCGGGGGTGGCGCCTGCGGACGGGGCAGGACGCAGAGCTGCCCAGTGCCATGCCCCCGCATAGGATCCAGAAAGGGGGACATGCTGCTGCTTCTGGGAGCTGCTTGAGGTAAGCACCGCCCAGAGCCTGCAACCCCCCTCCCCCATGCCCCAACCCCCCTGCCCCAGCCCTGATCCCCCTCCCACCCTCTGAATCTCTCTGTCCCAGTCCGGAGCCCCTTCCTGCACCCTGAACTTCTCATTTCTGGTCCCACCTCAGAGCCTGCACTCACAGCTGGAGCCCTCCCCCCTCCTGCACCTCAACCCCCAATTGTGTGAGCATTCATGGCCTGCCATACAATTTCCATATCCAGATGTGGCCTTTGGGCCAAAAAGTTTGTCCACCCCTGCTCTATAGTCTGTTCCCTGAGACATCTAATCCACTATGCTTGGCCCATGTTAAGCAAAATAAAATGCAGTACCAGTCTATTCCATGTTTCATGCTCTCTGGCTTCACATCTAACAGAGATCATCAGTGAACTCTCACTAAATCACAGCCCAAATTATGTTTTCTTTTATATTTTTCCAATAAAAATGTGCATAGCTTCAAACAGTCCCATTAGGTTTGCAT